GATTGAAAAGACTTATAAAAAGAATAATGCATGAGAGGAATCCATGTGATTACTGCTAAGATGCAGCAGTTTAAAAAATTATTTCCCAAAATAAGTTGATTATTCGTGATCCACCACTACTTTTCTGTTCTCTCTGTTATTTTAATTTCATCACAGGCCATTTATTGCAGTTATTAATTACTTAATTTCATAATAGCAAGAATGGCTTGAGACATACTTCTGTTTCACAACTTTTTTAATTATATATGTGAAGGTTAATAAATTTTTATTATGAAAAATAATTAATTAAGATGGGCACCTAATTAATTAAAAATTAATTAAGTTGCAGGTGTATGGATCATTTGCACGTGATCCGACACAGTACTAGGTACTAGCATCTTCACAATGTGGCAATTATATTGCCATAATAAACTTCATAAGATAAATGTAGAATTTCTATAGAATATGCCTGTGGAATATTTACATCGGTAACTATTATCGACCAGACCTTCGTGAACCTATTTACTGACTTGAAATTTTCATCGGTGAAATTTTTTACCAATGAATTGTTGCTCTTTAGGGATGGAAATTTCCGTTAATATGAATTTTGAAAATTATATTATGAAATCGTACGAAGTATTCTCAATTTTTGAAAAGAAAAAACCCTTCTTATTATAGGTGTCTCTCATTCTTAATCATATCCAATTCTAACGAAACCAGTTACAGTTCCGAAGTCTGAAAGCTGAAGCTGTATTTACCCATGCATTTATTGTGTGCGGGTCCCGCCCCCATGTGAGGTGTATAAACGCTCGGGTACAAATAGCATTTTTCATTTTAAAATGGACCAAAGTTTTACATTGATTCTCACGTGATACTGTGCATGAAAGTAGGCACCCCTTTTTATTCTCAATAAAGATACTTGTATAACATCCAAATGCTGTAAAAATTACAGTCCTCTCACATGTGTGGAATCCGCGCTTATTTTAACCATGGGCTTCACCCTTTATATGTGAAAAAGCTGTACAAATTGTTTTATAAGTTGTTGTACATGTGGCACATTTCTTTTATTTTTATTTGTCTTCTTCTATTTCTTGGGAACAATGCACGAGCATATGGTAGAAAATTCCCTGCAAAAAGATTTAGAATCAAACGTTTAAAAAGTTAATTAAAAAGTAGCAGAAAACTATGTAAACATCCTCATTGGTAAGGAAAAAATTGTCCCTTTTCGTAAGCATTCTTTTATGTTATTGTGCAAAATGTCCACACTTTTTATTTTTTGACATTTTCAACCCTATTTTCATCTTTCATTTTGGAAGTGTCTTATTCATCCAATTTTCCAATTAAAAAATGTAAAATGATAAATATGTTCTCCTATTTAAATAAAACAAAAATAAAAATTTTAAAGAACAAATGGCAATTATACTCCCAAACATTTTTAAAAACTGCACACGAGTCCAAATAAATTATTAAAATGGTAATTAACACAAAATGTCCATAATTTTCAATATTATTGTATAAAACGTCACTACCTTTCATTTTTTGATATTTTCACATGTCATTGCAGAAACCATCATTTTCATCAATTTTTCAATTAAAAGTTGTAAAATGATGAATATACCCTCTTATTTAAACAAAATAAAAATAAAGAAAAGAAAATAAGGAATAAATTTCAGTTATACTCCCAATTTTTTTTAAAAACTACAAATAAATAATTTTAAAAAATTAAAAAAAAACACTTACTTTTTATAATTATTTATTTGATGAGTATATTTGTAATTTATTCTTTATTTTTGTTTTATTTAAAGAGTATATTTGTCATTTTATAACTTTTAGTTTGGAAAATAGATGAAACGATAATTTTCGCAATGAAATGTGAGAATAAATGTGAAATTATTAAAGAATGAAAGGTATGGACGTTTTGTGTTAATTACCCTTTTAATAATTTATTTTGACTCATTTGCAATTTTTTAAAAAGTTTGGAAGTATAATTGCAATTTATTTTTTAATTTTTCTTTTTTCTTTTTAATTTTATTTAAATAGGAGTGTATTCTTGTCATTTTACATTTTTTTATCGAAATTTTGGGTGAAAATGACATTTTCTACAATAAAAGGTGAATATAAAAGTGAAAATGCCAAAAAATGAAGGTAAGAACGTTTCATGCTAATTACTCATATATATTTATATGAGCAAAAAGAACATTTAGGTCTTATTTGAGCCACATTCTTTTAAAAAGACATATGCTTAAACAGTGATTTGACATCATTTCAACCACACATTTTTCAATAAAATAATATTACACTCAAGTCCAAAACTTTTCCTTATTTTCAAACCATACATTTTCTATCAACACAATATTCAAAAATGCATTCTTATGAAAATAATGTGGCTCAAACATGGGCATAATATCTTAAGTCCTCGATTCATCTTTTTTTAGTCATCCATCAAGCTTTTTCTATAGAATTCATAATAAAATATAGTGAAGAATAGAAAAACGGAATGACGAAAATGGATTCAAGAATTTGTCATATTTTGAGCAAAAATCAAACCTCAAATTAAAGGACATGACATTCCATCCTCTACTTTGCCTCCCTCCATTTTCTTTTTCTTCTTGGGATAATTTAGAAGTAAAAAACTACTAGAAAATTCGATAAGTTGGAAATATTTTAACCTATAAAATTAGTTAACCAGAAAAAAATTAGCGAAAGTCTCTACTTACTCTAGTAGTCTGTCTAAATCAGCTGCCCGTAGTCGGGCCCGATATGTTGATGAATCAAGTAATCGTCACCGTCGGATACATCAAACGTAATGTTTTGATGGGGATATTGTTGGTGTTGATGAGCCCTCCTGAGTTCTTTTTGTCTCCTCAGCTCTAAAACTTTCCTATGTGAATTGGAATGCTTAGTGAGCACAAATGTAGGGCTTGCTGCCGGCCTGTACTCTGGGACGAGCCGGCCCGACTTGTAACGCACTCCACATGCATTACACAGTGTTTTTGGACCCATAGGCCCGGTCCGCCACTGTGGTGTCTTGTCTGTGGAGCAGTGGAGGCACTTCCGCCCTTCACTGTCATTTTCAGTGATTGCAGTGTTGGAACCTTCTTTCTTCTTCGCCATTGCCTTCATTGGTTTCTTGCCAACGTTCACGGCAATTTCAGACTCTGACGAGGCTGGCATTGCCGGGACACTAGAAAGTGGCGTTGGTGACAAGGCTAAAAGACGGGACGTCCAGTTGCCAGGGGCGGAGCGTGAGCGCTTGCTTCGTGCCTTGGCGGGGACCGGCATTTGGGGCCTAAGCATTGGGGTGGTGTCGATAGTAGTGGTGGTGGTTTCAGGATGAAATTGGTATAAACGAGTTTCATAAGGTTCATCAGTTCGGGCCTTCATGCCTTGTATTAGATGCAGCCTCTGGAATTCCTCACTTGAAAATGATTCCTCCACAAAATTTGATAGCCATTCCAATTCAGCTAAATCATCATGCTGTAAAAATACATCAAACCAACTTAAAACACTAGAAAGTGGATGACTGTACACATGCAATTGAATTTTACAGCCTTCACTCTTTTTTACATCATACGAGTTACATTGTATAATGCATGACTTTTAAAAAGTCAAAAGTTTTTTATTGAGACTAAGAAACTATTTTTGAATATGTTTGGATAATAATAATAAATAAATAAATAAATAATAATAATACCCTACCAAATGAGATAAAAAATCGGACATGGCATGATTCAAATTTCAAACTAAACTAGAAAAATATATTATTATGTTAAAGAATGTTATTCATCTAGACTGTTGATCATTATTATAGCATAAATGTCAATTAAGTTATCGATCCTTTAGATGGGTCCCACATACTAACATTAAAGATGTTCAATCACTTAATTGATACTTAGACGATTAACAATCTAGAAAAATAGCTTATTCATTATGTTACATGTAAGTATTTTTCATGTTCAGTCTCTCCAATTTAATAGGTGGACAATAAAATGTATAATCATCGTCATACATGTATATATTTTTTAATCATTTAATTGCGACCGTTTAAATTATATCAATGTCTCAGCAAAAATAATAGTTTTTTCTTTGTAGAAAATACTGAAAAGCCATCAAAACAAAATTCCATAGGCACGTAAAATAAACATAGAGAAGTGTTAAAAATTATTTACCTGCATGCAAAGTTCAGTATTAGAGAACTGTTCATCGGCGAAACTCTGGCAGCCACCAATACCTCCGGGGAAATGAGGTTCAGTAGTAGTACTACTACCGGAGAATGAGGAGTTGCATGAGGCGTCCACCACCGTGGCGGCTGATGAGTTGGTGGAGGCTCCGACCGATGAATCAAACGTGTCCTCAGTGAGCATAACATCATCCTTTGGGAAGTCTAGGGGGTCTTCTATGATGAAATGGTCACCATTTTTGGCATAATTTCCTTGGAAAAAATCTGGGTTTTCCATTAATGTATATTTTGTTGAATACACAGAGCTTAAGGAAGTGAAAATTGTGAAAAAATGATAAGAATTATAGTATGTGGACAGATTATACAGAGAGAAAGTTAGAGGGAGAGTTGGGGAAGTGAAGTTTTGGAGGGGAGAGAGAGGTGGAAGGAGAAGTAAGGAAGGGGATTCATTTGCGTTTGACGAGGAAAAAATATGGCTTCAAATAAACCTTAATTTTTGCTAGTTTCAAATTTTTTAATAATCCACGTGAAAATAATAATTGTATGTAATTACCATATTGTCCCTTAATCTTTATTTAGTATTTACACCTCGATTGATAAAATTTTGTTAAAGTAACTTCAATTTCAATTACATATTTTATGGGATTCATAATTTTTCTCAAGTTTTGAATCATATATTTTATCAACTTTTATTAAAAAAATTTCTTTTTTTATTAGAAACTTTTCACTCGAGTCCTTAATATTTTTAGGAAAAGGCCTCTTGCGCAGGGCATCTTACATGAAGGGTGGACCCCACACATGGGGTTCACATGTGGGGTCCACCCCATGTGTGTGTATCTGTATAGGCTCTGTGCAACAGAGCCTGTACAAGTAGCACAACCCATATTTTTATTGGAGATAAAACGTGATGTTATTTTTCAATTATTATTGGTCATGGGGTGTTATGATCTAGTATATGAATTGTGTTAAAGCTAGTTTCATGTTATAAAAACGTAAAAAAAGTGGATTTTTTCTATAATTTTCATGGAATTCGAACCTTAGATAAATGGTCAAAATCATCATTTTATTTCGTGGGTAAATTGCATTCGACTATCATTTTAATTTTTTTCTATATGCATTTTGAAGCCTCTAAATACGTACATTGTGAAGACTTACAGATCATCCAATGTGAAGAAGAAAAAGTTTCTTTAATATGGTCTTGTCTCTCTTATAATTTATCATTTTATTTTCATTTCATTTTACGTTATTTGGTAAGTTTTGTAGCAGGCTAAATATTATTAAAATGAGTCAATAAATGAATATTTTATGTACTCCTCTTTTACATTTTTGTGTAGTCATAATATAGGAGTGTAGCTAGGGATGTCAAATGGACCGAACGGCTAGTCGGCTCGGCCACTCGGTCAGGGCTCGGGCTCGGGCTCGTCATTCCGAGCCCTAACCGAGCAGGGGGCTCGATCCCACGAGCAGTTTTGACGGCTCGTCCAAAAAATTGAATTTCTTAAAAAAAAAAAAAAGGTGCAAAAAATGTGCAAAAAATTAAAAAAACACGAGTTCACGAGCTCAACTTGCCACGAGCCCGAGCTGAGCTCGTGGTTTAAAGGCTCGGCCTATTGCCATCCCTAAGTGTAGCTACCAACTTGAAATAAATATCGAAAGCAATTTTCACTCCTTCAAATACAAATGTTTTACATGTCTCTTTCTCGTTTCTATTCAATTGATTTTAATGTTTATTGTTAAATTTATTAAAAGATCAATCCTATACTACTAAAATATTTATCCTTTGTTCAAACTAACGGTTGGATTTTATGTGCAATATTAAAGAGATGAAAGAGATAAATCAATACAAGTATTTATGTGGTTCGACGATATGCCTATATTCACGAGGAGCGAAACGGAGATAATTTTATTCAGTATGAATAATAAGATTACATTATTAATATTTATACTAACTCTAACCCAAACCCATACAAGGCTTTGGAGGAGAAAATATTGAATATATATATAAAAGAAAATCTCATTTTCATTACATTTGAGGTTATTAGGGAAAAAAAGGGTAAAAAGTATAGATACTTTATTTTCCTTCAAGTTACTTCATCGTCGAGCCACAAAGATACAAATGTGAAACAAGAAGATTAATTGATTAAATTCATTGACGAATTTCAGTTCCTACACACAATCTAAGTGCTTGTTTAGTACGGATTTTAATAATTGATTTTTTAACCATTAGAGATAAAGTAGATCCTACTTGTGAAAGAAAAAATAAAAAATAATGATTGAAATAGTGAAATAACGATCAAAATTTGATTTTAATTAACTTAAAATCTATACTAAACAAGCTCTAAGTTTAAAAAGGAAGGGAATAGTGAAATTACTCTTAGGTAAATTTAATTCAAAAAAAAAATGTAATTATGAAATTAGACAAGTTTATCTTTAATTTGATAAAAAGTAACTATGAGATTAAATAAATTTAACTTTATTTCTGAAAATTAATTCAAGCTCTTAGAAACCGATCTACCATGTGACAATCTAATTTTTCAATTTAAAAAAAAAAAAAATTTATATTGTCTTTGGGATTCGTGCCTTTATCTTATATTTAATTAAAAATCTCTGCGATCTAATATTTACTTGATAGTTCTCAGTCACGTGAGAGCACGTGCGCTAATGCAGCGCACCCGTTTTCCCGCTTGTGATAAATAACATGGAGAAAAATGCTTTTCTACAACAATCATGTTATAGGTACATTATGATGTCCAACGAAGTGTCCATTGGCACCTCGACCATTGCTGAGGTGCCTGCCACGTCGGGGCTCACCGGCGCCTCGGCCATTACCCAGGTGCCGGGGTGTCCATTTTGGACACCTCAATGTATCACAAGCATTGTTCTTGCTACAAATACAAGGTTTGTGACAGGTTTATAAACAAGGAAGACACTTGTCATTCAAGGATTGGACAATTAAAAAACAACAAAAACCCAAACAGGTGCTGTGTTTTTTATCCTGGACCTGTCAGGATATGGTGATCTTTTCACCTAATTATATATTTGCCTATTTGATACCCGCTGAAGATTGAGAAGACTTCAGTAAAATATACCGTCGTGATTAAGGCAATTAGTCTATGGTAAAAAAATTAAGTTCTCGTTTAATAAATGGTATTAAATATCAATCATGTTACATTAACAAAAGATTTGACATAATGATTGACTTATTGTCACATGACGTTTCGTCGTTAGACTATTTCAAACGTAATCAGTTTTTCCCATCCAATCACCTCCCATCATAGCATCTTCTGTCATTGCAAATGGCCAAATTCTTTTGTCAAAGCAGCATTATCATTAAATATAACTAAAAAATATTTTAAATTATTTCTCTTTATATTATTTAATACTATCTATAAAAAACTGGTTTTTATTCCATTTTCCAAAAATCGGAAAAAAAGAAAAGAAAAAGAAGAGTAGTAAGATATACCATGTCATTAAAAATAGTAAGATATACCAACTATCGACTAAGAGACTTGATTGTCGTTGATTCTTAAATATTTTTAAGGCAATATACGCAAATATTTAAAAGTATAATTTTCAACATCTCGACTTTGCTCATTCGCCAAGTTGAGCCTAGCCCCTTGATCAATGGGCCGAGTTCTGCTACCTTAATGGGAATAGCCGAGCCTGGGTGGTTGGCTGGCTAGCTGGCCCACCACTGTCACTCTTGGTAAGCCCATGTTTGATATAAATTAAAATTTTAATTTTAATTTAAGTCAAAGTCAAAAAATAATTTTAACTGCATACTTTATTTAATCACACATTTCGTTATCTTTTTTATAAAATAATATTAAAGTTTTAATTTTAATCCCCGCCAAACATGTCTAAATCTTTGAAAACAACATAACAGTAACGAAATGGGGAAATTACACAAAACCCTAGTATTAAAATCTAGAGTTCAAAAATCAGATGGGAAGTTTTATCTTTCAAAAATCAGATATATTATAATTAAATTATTATGATTAATATAATATATTTAAATATTATATGCTTAAGATATGCATTAGTAACTGCCTAACCCGTGATTTACATGTTTTAAATTTAGAAAACATTATAACTTCCTTATATTTCCAAACATCCTCCCACGGTGAGTCTTCATATAGCACGACCATAAGGAGTTTTCCATCATCACCGTACTTCTCTAGCAAACTCGCTACCACAGTCAACACGCACATTATCCTCCCACCATATAACCATCAATCTATAAGTATTTTCATCCTGTGAAGGCTACAAATTCGAAGATTAATGCCTCGTTCGAGCAATGAAAATTATGAGAAAAATGTAGTTGACACCTCAGATAGAAGGGGTAAAAGAGAGGTAAAGAAATTACATAAAGTTTCCCCATTTAAAAGGCACAAAAAAATACCAGAATCAAGTCACTAAACTCTTCCTAAAATGCAAAATCCTAGTTCTAAGTAGGTAAAGGTCATGAGCAATTTGTTATATGAAATTATTTGGGTGTTTATGATTCAGATACTTGTCAATTTTACAATTTGTGACCTAATTGTCGAAACTATGACTTGAGATATTGTGACCTAATAAGGTGAGAGTGGTTACATAATTGAACTGTTATCCTACTCCTTTTTCTTTGATTCATTTTAATCGTCGAATTTGTAGTGTGACTTTATTTTCCATTTTACGTTGTCGTTGGAAAGGTGTTTGATGAAATGTTTGGGTGAAGAAATAATGAATTCAAACCGTGCAATATAATTATGTTAATAAACAATTTTTTTTTCTTGAATTTAACTTTGCAGATTCACTAAGAAAGTAGTCTGATGGTAAGTTTGATAGCATGGTCTCAAATGACCTTCCTTGATTATTAATTCACATTTTATATATACATCTCTCACGAGTAATAATGGCTTTTCTTATTTTCCCTTAAAGCTGATAATGGGGGCAATATCACATGATTGCATTATATGGGCTCTGGAATTATTTAATCTTTGTGATCATTTGTTATCTTTTGTGACCAACCGTGAGGACCATTTTGTTTTCTTTTGTGACAAACCATATGTTATAACTAAGTTTATAAGAGTGAACAATTTTGTAAATAGAAAGAATTTAATCAGTTTTTGTGACATATGGTGCCTGTAACTTGTACAGAGGGTGTGACCTTATTTCTTTGTGACCTATTGTAGAGTATGTGATTTGTTCTTTGTTAGTGTGCTATGTTTGGAATAGTATTGAGTATGTTAGTGACATAGATGTCAATACAAGAATCAAATACTGATGTTTGTTTGTTACTTTTGTCATGTATTGTAGGAATGAGAGTATGTTATACCAGAAGAATTAAGGTTTTCGAGCAAAACCACAACAAATGCAACAAAAATTGTGTTGTCCAATTTTACGTCATAGTTCAGTGATGAACAAAAGGAGATT